GGGCACATGAGATACTCAGTCACTACGTAATGATTGATGCATTGCAATGTAGTACAGAACCATGTGAAAAATCTTTGTGAATTTAGCTCTTCTGAATTGCTATTGACATAGCATGAATAATTACACCATGCATGAGTACAAGAACTGTTAATAATAATGACAAATGTTTTAACGTGAAAACAATGTCGTGGAAAAAAAAAATTCTCACAAAAAACCACGCTCAGTGTGGTTTTGATTTTCTGTACTCCTTCCAGTTCCACTCAACCCAATCAAAATTTTCATCAACGTTGTCCTGCATTGCAAATATCTCCCGATTACCCCTGAAAGAAAGGAACATGCACGTCCAGTAGTAAAGATTAATTTTCTTTTTCAGTCTGTCCGTCCCCAACAACTCATTCAAGCACGACCTTCTCACTTGCAGTGATCGTTTGATCAACAAAGTAGGAAAGTTCTCATGCTGATATTTTCTTCTTCTTCTTCTCTTTTTTGTTCATGTTTGCCTTTCTACATTTATTTCCACTTCGCGGACCGAAAAGATCCATGCTTGCATCAGCCATCCCCGTTGTATAGGCCACTGGAGCCGCTACTCTCGTCATGAAGTGGTACTTCGTCGCGGTGGTCTTCGTATCTGCTATCTTCGAACATTGCAAATCCAATTCTGCACAGCTTTGTTGGTGTGAATGCATACTTCTCGCTATCAAACGCGTCCCCAAACAAAGCTTTGTAACTATAGATCTCTCTGCAGTTTTGTCTTTGAATTCTTTGTAATCTTTGTTCTCCTGCGACAGAGGGTATGAAAAAAGTAATCACAACGTTATACGGATGGTAGTTTTTTTCCTCAAACAGACGACATGACACCATCAAAGGCAAAGCTATTGCAATTTCACAAAACGTATTTTGCAGTTCTTTACTAGACAAAAGTAGATAATCATTGTCATTGCATACAAAATTTATCAGAATCCAGAGAAATTTTAGTGATCTCCCTACTAGTCGATTACGTAAAGATAGAACCACAGTTGGAGTGTATGTTTATCCATACACTGCCCACATCAGGGGCGGAGCCAGAAATGATGGGTACGGGGGGCTAAAATTTTAAAAATTTAATGTACGAATAAAAGTTATATATAACAAGAAAAATTGTAATATAATTTTACATATTACAGTTGTACCCGACGATATTTTATAGCATAAAATTCATCTATAATAGAATCTAGATCTAAATTCATACTAAATTCTCGTTCAATGTTTAGT